GGTGCAGGTCAAGGTGAATATAGACCTGGTAAGGGTGAAGGTGTTGGAATTGAAGGTGAAATTCAAAGCAAGAGTGAAGATGGTGAAGGGGGCAAAGATGAAGGGTGTGGACAGTAAAGGTGATGCACATGATGTTCAAGGTTGAGGTGGGTCAAGGTGGTTGGTAGTGAAGGAGAAGGGTGAAGTAGGCGAAGGTGAATATATTGAAGGTCAAGGTGAAACTTGTAGAGGAACTGAAAACCTCTCAAACTTACCGTGAAATCCTGCATGTGGCAAACAGTTTCTCACAGGGTTCAGCACTGAGAACACCTTATGGCATTCTAACCTTGTTCCACATCATAGAAGCTACTGATGGTTACTTCAACCACAAATTTTGAGGTGGATTACTAGTATCAACTATTAAAGTGTTTATTACAACTTCAATACTTTCTAAGAGTTTAAAAATACTTCAAAGCCAACTTTAAATGGTATGACCAAATTTACATGATTCATATTCATTAAATATGTAATATTTAGTGTATACTTATTTTCACATGCTTACTGATTTTAGAGAGGAAGAGAAACATCTGTTGGTTGCCTTCACCATACGCACCCCAACACGGAATCAGACCTGCAACCTTTTGGTGTCAGGATGATGCTCCACCAGGGCCCTATAGAGATACTTGTACGTGTGAAATTTTTATCCAATTTATGCTAATCAGGAAACGCTTTTCCTACAGAAGGCTCCTTCTGTCTGAAACTGGACCTCTGAAACTGCTCTACTCGCCTGATGTACTTTGCCAGTGATTCTACAAATTAAAAGAAATGAGGACTGAACACTTTTTCCAGAAGTTTGCCTTATTTTGTAGTGTTTATACCAAATATTGTCATAGAAACATAGCAAACAGAATATTTACTAAATTGACTTTTAAAAACCAATCTGTTTTTATCTTCACACTTTTAATAAATGTAGTACCATAAAAAATGATGACATATCAAAGTATTTGTTATTTCATTTTAAACTTACATTGCTTTTCCAAGATAAAAATGCAATTAAACTATTTGTAAGAATTCATGATGTTTTATAAGACTGACAATATTTCATCTTTTTCACCCTCTGAATGAAGAAGACTCCTTTATTGGCAGAAAAGATTAATAGTTTAATGACTATTTCAAGTTCACAAAGGTCATGAATATGTTGAAAAATTCTCAAACTACATGGATATCAAGCACCCAGAAGAGATGACAGGGCCCACCCCGCACAGGTCTCTCCGTCTATGGAAAGAAAGACCCCTTTTACCTGTTAGTAATTGTAGGCTGAGGTGCTAGGGAATGACTCCCACAAGGAACCGGCCATGGTGAGGTAAGAGAGCAGGCAGGCGCTGTCTGGAATCTGCACCACATACGTGAAGAGAGGAAAGAAGCAATAGAAACCTCAAGGTAAGCCAACGTAGTTTACAGAACAACAGGGAGATTTCAAAAAGGACCAGATAGACATTCTAGATTTGAAGAGCATCATCATCGAAACAAACACACCTTTACAGGTTTAACAGAAGATGAGATTTTACTAAACACAGAACCAGTGAATCGGAAGGCTTAAGGTAGTCAGCAGGGAGAGATTAAAAATGGAAATACGAGGAAAGTTAAAATAGAACGACACGTTTCCAAAAGGGGAGAATACATATGGATGTGAACCACCCAAAGGAAACCTAACAGGCCCTCAGGATTTCACAGAAGTAGCTCCTCAGGTTTAAAGGGATCAATAAAATAAACCCACACGACACACTGAGTTCAGAGCATAACCTGAAAGCTGTGAGAAAAGACCTTGTTCATTCCACTATCCAGGAACTAGTGTTAGATGCCAGCAGACATCTCATTGCAGAAGACAAAGTAGTAACATTTTCAAAATCCTGAAGGAGACGGTCAGCCTAGATTTATATACCTAACAGCTAGCACTCAGAGAGAAGGTAAGATAAACGCAATTCCAGCCATGCACACACAGACCCTGTGGGGAGAAATGCCAAAAGATGTGTAAAGTGAGTCCAGGAAGAAGAGCTGGTTACAGAAACCAGTGGTAAGTGAAGAGATGGGTAAGCACACGGGGCAAAGCTAAGAGGATATTGTGTGGGGAAAATAACAGTGAGGCGTAATCGGGAGGAGGAGGAGCAGGTATCCAAAGTAGGATAAGGTAAATGTTCAGCTTATCCTAAAAGAGTGTTGTGTATTATAGATTAGGACCTTCAATATGGTTACTTACAAGTTAAGGGAAATTGTCAAAGGAACAAAAATATGTGGGATTTAAGCCATTGACGAGGATGTGGAGAACGGGGAACCCTCGTGCACCAGGGATGGAATTATAAATTGGTGCATCCACCAAGGAAAACAATGTGGAGGCTCCTTCAGAAAATTAAAAACAGAATAACCGTATGACCCCGCATTCCACTTCTGGGTTATTTATTCCAAGAAATTCAAAACACTAATTTGAAAAGACACATGTACTCCTATGTTCACTGCAGCGATTTACAACAGCCAAAACATGGATGCAACCTAAGTGTGCACTGATGGATGGATGGATAAGAATGATGTGGTGTATATGTACACACGAGAGAATACTACTCGGCCATAAGAAGGAACAAAGCTGCCATTTGCAACAACATGGGTGGACCTAGAGCAGTGATGGCGAACCTATGACACGC